TCCCATCTTTAGACAAGTGGTAGAATATAGTATGATCTGACTGTCCTTGCTGATATCCTTGGCTCCTTAGCACCCTTGCAAACCTGTCAAACCATGCTCTGGGTGACTGTTTGAGGCCGTACAAAGATTTGTTTAGTTTACACACGTCTTCATACATTTCATTGAAACCTGGGGGTAACGTCATGAAGACCTCTTCTTCTAATTCTCCATTCAAGAATGCATTTTTAATATCAAGCTGTTGAAGAGGCCAATCCAGACTCGCTGCTAAGGACAAGATAACCCTGATTGTGTTAAGTTTTGCCACAAGAGCAAATGTTTCTGTGTAATCAATGCCATAGGTCTATGTATATCCCTTTGCAACAAGTCGAGCTTTGTATCGTTCTATTTTTCCATCAGCCTTGTATTTCACATTAAAAACCCATTTACATCCGACAGGTTTCTTTCCTTTCGGTAACTCCACCACACCCCAAGTCTTATGTTTCTCCAGTGCTCACATTTCTTCTAGGACTGTTTCTTTCCATTCTGGAATAGTCATGGCTTCCTGAATACTCTTTGGAATTTCTGTATTGTCAAGATTTGAGGAAAAAGTGCGAAATCCTGCACTTTTGAGATTGGGTGGAAGGTACATGACCGAGGTTTTTTTCCGAGAGCAATAGGTAGATCATCATTCGAGGACTCCATTTGGTCTGAGGAATTTTCATGGAGGTCTGGAGCTATCATCGGTTCAAACTCTTTTGGTGCTTCGGATGTGTGGTTCTCCTCGTACCTTGATTTTTGCTTCCTTGAGTAAACTCGCATCTCTTTGTTAACTTGCTTTTCTACTTCTCCCCCTGAGTTTAAGCGTCCTTTTGTATTTGGCATATTAGAATGAGGGGACGTGGTCGAGTCAGTATTTGAGATAGGTTCAGTGGGTGAGAGATCAAAGTTAAAAAAATGATCATTACTTAAGAGCCGATCTACACTCAAAGTCTCCCCCTGAAGAGAGGGTTTTTGGAAGTAGGGAGTATTATCAAAAAATGTGACATCGAGGCTAACAAA